AAATGAAAACATAACACACGTTTAAATTAAGATGTGTTTTATTGTATGTTGAAACCGGGTATAATTCTTAGATTTATAGATCTTTTTATTGATTTTAGTTTCATTTATTTCAATTATTTGTGTATTATATTAATTGTATATTATACATTGTTTATTATGTATTATATTAAATTTGTATTCAGTTTGTATAATTATCGGAAATTTGTCGCTGGGGCTTTGTCCCACCGGGGAAAATTCACCAAGCTTTCAAAAACATTTAAAAACAAACCATAATATACTTAAACATTAATAAATATAATTGTTTAACGATTGTAATATTTTCGCAAATAACTATTGTGATTTTCAAAAGTTCAAGTTATTTTTCGAATTTCAGAAATTCCACGCTTCTGATAAGTCTCAAGGGAGTCTGAGATCGGTAAAAATGTAAAAAAAAGCAAATTATCGGAACTACGTAAACTAAAGAGTAGTGTGAGTTTAACATTCGTTTAGAATTTATTTTCTTTGATAACTTTGGCACTATTATTTGTATTACTTATTTATAAGTTTTGAATAAAAAATCATATGAATTAAAAAAACGAAAGTTTTTAAAGAAACTTTCAAATTGTTCAACAATAGATTGACTTTTAAGTATGAAGTTGTACATGAAGAAGATTTGTGTATACTTTTCAAAAAAAGAAAATCAAATTGACACAGTTGCATTATTTTCTGAATTTCAAAATACTAATAACTTCCAAGATAATGAAAGTTATAATAGTTTATCATTTGTTCAGTCAGATGATGCAACTGATTCATGTTGTTGAGTCGCTATCTTTTACAGAGGAGTCTGAAACTTGTTGTTCAAGTCATCTTTTCCATCAAAAAAGGGAAAAAACTTTAAACAAAGCTGAAATTATAAATATAAATGGGTTTAACATGACCGCGAGAAAGAAAAAGCTTTTTGTTTTACCTGCATCAAACCTACCCGAATGAAAATGCCTTTACCTCGTAGTTCAAGAGAAAAAGGTTCATACGAAGCTTTTATTTTAAACGGATTTTCTAATTGGAAGAAAGCGTTACAAATTTTTGGTTCTCACGAGCGATCTGAAATCCATAGGGTATCCGTCAGTATGATTGCCTCAGCAACACTGGAATCGACTGTTATCCAGCAGCTTAAACATCTTCAAAAAAAAGAAATTATGGATAATCGTACGGCTTTATCAATAATATTTACAACACTTCTTTATTTCGTAATTCTTCAATTTTATTTAAAAAAAATTTAGATTAACTATCAATCGTTAAGTTTATTTACTAGATAACTAAGTTTTTCTTCATAATGTATTAGGGAACGCAAGGCCTTGCCATTCGTGGAAAGCCTGAAAATAATTCAAACTTTCGCATGCTACTCTAACTACGAGCAGACGATTCTCTGGAACTAAAGAAATGGTTAAATCGTTCTGAAAAGCAAAAGTGACTCTATCGCCTGAAATTGAAAACAAAATCCTACAGATTTTGCTCATGCAACGTTTCGTAAAGTTATGCGAAAGTATAAGGGAATCAAAATTCTATAGTTTGATGGCCGATAAAACAACGGATATGTACGCAAAAGAACAATTTTCGATCTGCATTCGGCGTGTTAATAAAAAATTTAAAGTTTAGAAACTTTTTATGGGATTTTACCAAACCGAGAACATCAAGAGCGCAACTTTGTTAAACTGTTTGATGTACGTTTTGTGTTGACTTAGCCTGTTGATTCAAAATTGTCGGGTCCAATGTTTTGACGCATTGTCTAACATGTCTTGAAGTATCTATGGATTGCAGACTTTAATGAAGGGAAAAAGAAAGCGGGCAATTTACGTGGACTGCCGCGGTTATAATCTCGACTTGGTAGCACAAGATTCTATTAAAAATCAAACAGAGATCAAGAATATTATGAATTTAGAGCAATCATTCATCGCATTTGACCGTGGATCTCCAAAAAGACTGGGATAATTTTCAATAAATTTCGAAATGTAGAGGATGTAGAAAGCGGAACATCACGGTGACTATTTTGCCCCACTCGATGGATCCTTAGAAGACCGTCCATTAAAAACATTACGAGTAACTATTCCGCCATCATTCTGATAAATCGGCAAAAAATAAGTCAGAAGCAGCAGGTTATTTGGAATCTTTTTGTAAGTTTGACACATTTTTCAAATTGGAAATTTTGCGAATAATCTTCACGATAATCGAGGATGCTAATACAATACTCCAAGGTAAATATTATTTTATTTCATAGTATTTTTTTTTTTTAATATATTATTTAAAGCGAATTATAATGTTTAACGTTTATTGAAAATTATTTTAGACATGCAGCTTAGTTTTTGCCAAAAATACCATCAACACGCCTAAGGAGGTGTTAAAAGAAGGTGATAGTCGCTTCAAAGTCTCATGGAATGCAGCCGTTGTAGCAGCAGAATGTAGTTTACTTGACAAACCAGAGATGCCACGAAAACCTAAAATTACATCAAACTTACTGGAATTGGAGTTCCATACTTTGCTATAACTTTAGAGGACCACTACCGCCAGCTTTTTTATGCATTTCTGGATTGTGTTATAACGGGATTTGCGACCCATTTTGAAGCGACTGAGACCACTGAGCATTTATCAAATGTAAAAATATTTAGCCTTGGTGAGTGCTTGGAAATTGGACTCGTTGAGGCTTTTAACAAAGATGAGTTTGAAGATTGTAGAATGTTACAACTCCATCGCGATATATTTTCGAATCATGCAAAATTTAAAAATATTCAACTAAATAATTTTGAATCAGTTTTGAATGAGCTTGTAGACCATGATGGCGTCTTTTCTCACTTAATTCCACTGATTCCCGATTTTATGAAGCTGGTGAAGATTTTACTATGTATGTCTGTTAAGTGTACGTGTAAGTGCTCTTTTCCTTGGCTTTGTAGGCTAAAGACTTATCTGCGTTCTACAATGTCTCAGAAGCGATTGAATCATCTTGCTATTTTAAATTGCCATCGCGATATTGCCTACACTCTCGATCTTGATCATTTGATCGATGAGTTTATAATGCGTTCCTCCATACGTTTGAACACATTTTACTTGAGAAAATAAATTACATTTTTATGCCCATTGAAAAAACTTTTTATTTCTTATTCTAGATTTTTAACTCCGAGAAAATATTTTATGCCCCATCCGGGAAAATTAAAACTCTAGGCCTATAATCTGGAGCTCTTTCAGGACGTTACCAAAACTATATAAAAACTTATTAACGCATTTGAAAGATTGTTGAGTATAGCTCCATCAGGCGACAGAGCTTCACTAGAAAAAAACAATAACAGATTAAATAACATTTCAGATGGCAATTAAATGCTTTTAAGCAGTTTACATTATGAACTTATATTTGCATTATTTCCCCGCATCAATTGATCATTCATACATTTTTAACACAAAAAGCGGAAGAACATATTCTTTTTAATTTTTATTTACCACTGGTTGCCACCCTTACTTGTTTCTGGGCTTTAGAAGCAAATATTTTGGAATTTCGTTGAGCATTAAAAATACCGTTTTCAATCAGCATTATACTCTTTTTTTTGGTTAAGGTGCTCCTAGAAGTCCTAACGGTCTTACCACAGAGCACCGAGAAAAAGCATTTAACTAGGAAATTAATACTTCCCTCTTTACCAATGTCGCTTGTTGAGCTTAAGCCGGCATCGAACATTGGACCTCTTGGTTCTGAAATCTAACCACTGCGCCACGGCTGCCTTTTCATTGATATGCGTCAGTTTCCAGATTTTAAAATAACAACTTTACTTGTTTCATTATATGCATTTACTTTGATTAATGAGTTAGGCTGAGATTTTTTAAATGAAATATTGGAAAGTGAATTAGAATGAAAGAACAATACCAGTCTTAACCTGCCAACTAAGATGCCTTATTAAATTTATTCTTCAGTTCATTTTGCTCATCAAATTTAAAAGCAATTATTCGTACCATTTCGATCGTAAACCCGAAAAAAACTATTTTTAAAAAAGGTATTTTTTTTCCACATTGCTGTTGTATTATGACTTCTTTCTTGAGTCAAAAAACGTGGTTTTAGACACAAAGTAAGCAATAGGTGCTTGACCCAATGATAAAGCTATGTTTATATATTAGTTTTTATGCTTTTTTAAATCCTCTAGTCGATATTTTATTTCTGTATATAATATATATATATATATATATATATATATATATATATATATATATATATATATATATATATATATATATATATATATATATATATATATATATATATATAGTTTCATATAAACTCATAACTCGATTATTAGTCGCTTTTTTTTTTTTTTTTTTTTTTTTTTTAAATGAGAAAAATCTCTCGTAATTTGAATAACCGAATGTTTTTAAATAATTATAGTACCGATTTCATTCGGTACTAAATTTATTTTAACTGAATTTAATAATATATTAATTAAAAATAAATGCCAACCATATTTGGTGTTTGGAGGAACAACTGCATTGGTTATTGCTGAAAACCAACAACATTTTGCGTTGATTGATACAACTAAATTGGATTTGCTGTTGGAAATGGGGTCACTATCGTAATATTACACAAACTGAATTATATTTTTATACATGCAAGTAACATTTTATTGTGTTAAATAATTGTGTTTAAAATACTAAAACCTGTAAAAAAAAAAAAAAAAAAAAAAAAAAAAAAAAAAACTTTTAACTTAATTCAAAAACTTTTAATTTAATACAAAAAAAAAAAAGTTTTTTAAAAAATACATAAATTTTAAATAAACATCATTTAGACCATTTTATAAAAAAACTGTTACACTTATTGCGACCGTAATTTAAAAAAAAATTGGACTGTTAAAGGATTAATCATAAAAAGCATGCAAAAAGTACAACTAGTATTTGCTGAATAGTTAAAGTATTATTAGTTAATTTGACTTTCTGATAACTAGTTTTTTTTAACATTTTAAATAATCAATCGTTTCCTTAAAAAATAGACTTCATTGGAAATACAAAATATTAAATGAAATTCACATCACGTAAAGAAAGAAAGAAAAAAAAAACAAAGTTTTGTCAGCCAAAATCATTCATGGCATATCAATAGTCGGCTCATCATCCTATCCGTAAGTGGAGAGTTCTCTTTTACCAGTTTTCTTTCGTGTAAGAGCGCCTTTGCAAGTTTAAAATACGCTTTTGATTTTATTGACGCTTCTAAAAGTATTTGTTGAAAAACGTCTCTTTGAGCATTACTACCACCTATTTTTACTAAATCGTATTTTATCGGATATAGAAGCTCAACAACGTCATCGTATCTTTCATCTGTGAATGCCACAATACTTTTATACAAACTAAGTCCAACTTGCACATTGATATCCTTATTATCTCCATTTGAAATTTCGATGTAATCATTAACAGAGCGTAGAAATAAATTTACAGACTGCTCTTTTTTAGCACCTAAGCAAGACATTAAATAGTGAGCGTCGTTAAAAACTGTAACATGATCATTAAGGCGAGATTGACAAATCTCATAGATATCTTCCCATCTTTCACCAACATACACTCCTTGAATCTCTAAACGTTTTAAAAGTGAGACTGCATCAACTATATCCAAAGGAAAACTTGATTTCGACCTTGAACTAATTTGCTGATCATATATATCGAGAGCGGAGTCGTAGTCACCATTTTCAACATGATACAGAGCCCAATGCCAATAATTATGACACGCTAGCATGCTACCACGCTTCCACTGTTCCTCAGTTGAACTTAAAAAGTCTATTCCAGTATGTGTTTGGCCCGTCATTTCGTAACAATGTGCTAAAGAATGCGATGCCCAGCAATCATATTGATTCAACGCTAATGCCTCTTTACCATACTTTTCAGCTAACGAATACAAATTTGTTTCCTGCAAACCAAAAGCATACATACCTTTAAGATAACCGTAAAAAGGATTAGTTGATTTATAAAAAGGAAGTACTCTGCCAACACTGTCTCGAATCATCATCGAGTTGCCAAGATAAAAATAAGTATCGTATGCAAATTTCAGAGCTAAAATATCATTCGGATAATCAACAAGAATATCTTCCCATACGTTACAAGCTGATTTTAAGTTCTCTGACGCAAATAGTCCCACTGCTTTGCAATGCAGTTTTTCACGTTTGCTAAGAGAATTGCTTTGCGAAAGTTGATTTAATTGTTTAATACTGTTATTAAATTCTTGATCAAGTCTTGGTGTTCTCCCAGTACTCATCAAATCCAAACCTATAGAAAGGACCATGCCCATTGCAAAATCAGGACTCGTATTTTGAAGAGACTTTAATGTCCCCTGTAGCCCATCCAGATTAGGATTTTCAGTCCAAGTAACATACTGATTTAAAGCTGCATCAAAGAGACGAGCAGTTTGATTACATGTTGTTGATAACGACAACCCCTCGTCACACCAAGCCTGACAATCACGCCAAGCCATTTACAATCTAGGCATGTAATTTTTTACTCTAAAATAAAAAATTTTCTTAAATAAAATAGTGAACTGCATAACACTTGTTTCAAACAGAATGTCTAAAACAGGTTTCAAAAATTATGAAGATTAAAAAAAGTAATTTTACAATAACAACTCAATAAAAACAATAACATTAATAAATAACAATAAAATTAAACTTTCTGGTCTTTATTTTGATTATAAAGAAAGATGCATTTGCATAAAGTTTTGAATATTATTTAAACTCATAAATTTCAAGAAGGATACAAAGATGCAAAAGTTAAAAACCCAGTGTGACCAGGCATTTCTTTGTTCCCTTTACATGTCAATACATTACAATGTCTAGATTTCGATTTAGCTGTCAATTTGGTGACCATTCCCAACGAATTAACTCCAGTAACATTAGCACATTTTGCATCTTTAATTCGAGATTCATCCGTGGAAGCAATTTGATTATTTTCAATATAAGGTTCCTTTGTTGAAGCAAATTGAGGAATATGCGGTAATTGACTTTGAATTTCCTTTAAAACAATAAAAAAAAATCCATTTTTAAATCAGAATTTAAACTAAATTATACTTGTCTTTTATTATAATACAAAGCACTTTAAAAATTCAATGAGGTATTTTGATAACAAGTAATGTTAGTTACATATTAATTAAAGGAAATAACCTCCTCGTTTTGTTTCATTCTTTTGGAATCGGTTGGTTTCTCATCCTTAAAATATTTAATACAACGGTTTTTAAATCCATATCAATTTATATTTTAAATATATATAGAAACCTTATCAAATAAAAAAATCCATATGAATATAGATTTTAAATATATATCGAAGAATCATCAAATAAAAAAAGAAACAAAAATACGAACATCGATATTAGAAAAGTCAAGCGACCCAATATTAGCTTCTGGGACAGGTATCGTTTTAACATTCAAGGTTCTGACTAAACATTCGACAGTTTTTATTTCTAAAAACATGAATAAAAAGAATATTATAACATAGAATATATTTATAAAAAATATTGCAAATCATATATATATATATATATATATATATATATATATATATATATATATATATATATATATATATATATATATATATATAAAATAAAGAAAGTATGCTAACTACCATTTCAATCAAAAGCGTTGCTTAAAATAAGTAGTTAATCAATTAAAATTAATTAAATTAATTAAAATAAGTTTTAATCAAAACCAACTATTCTATGTATGTATGGTAGATATATTTTAAAACATCAGTATACTATAAAAAATGCAAAAAAATAAAAATAATTTTAATTCCAAAATAAAAAAGCCTTTAGGAATATACCGTCAAAAGCATATAAGATCAGTAACTGATGGCACATCCATAGTTCTGAATAACTTCAGTATATCGATGAGGCATATAATCAAGTTTTTAGGTTTTAATAAAATTTTTTGTTTTGCAAAAATCACTTTGTGTAAAAAGTATTAAATATATCTTTTTAAGTTGCTGTTTCTTTTATTTGCCTTTTTTTTATTTCATTTGCCTTTTTTTATTACAGATGGCTTATACAATGACGAAATGTTTTTTATAAAAGCTTTTGATGTTTGGCTAAGGGTTACCTAAGTAAAGGCTTTTATTTCTGTTAGTTTTAATAATCTGATTAAAACACAGCCACTTCTCAAATTTATTTGGTTCACACGTGAAAAAATCTCATAAACTCTATAATGCGGTGACGAGTACAGAAAGTAGGATGTTTTTTTAACATAAAAGCTAAAAACTTTCAGGATAAAATCTTTTAAACATTTAGCAAAGCTTAGTGTGCAGTGATAAAGATGCACCATTTACATTTTTTTTTTGGATTTCTTTGGGCAAATTCTTGATGAACATAGTTAATAATTTTCTTCGAAATATATTAGTGATGGAAGAACACTATCAGGGCCAACGCAATGAGGTGATGATGGAAGAAAATACTTTTCTATACTTCACTTCTATAGACAGTTATCTCCACAGTTTGAAGACAGTTATCTCCACTGATATTTATTATGTTGGGCATTTACTATATTAGGCCCTTATATTTTTAATACTTATCCAGTTGCACTAGAAACATTGTGCTCATTTCACCTTTTTCTATTTACTTGTTTTTGATTTATTTTCCTTTTATCATAACTATAGATGCCACAACTGATTTTGAACATTTTTGAAACCATTTTTAAACTTATCTAGAAACACTAAAAAAATCCAAACAAAAAGACATAGTAACTTTTTTTTTATAGCTTTTTATTATATCTTTAAAAGCTTTGGAAGTTTTGTTGTTTTGTAATTTGCTAAATATCTATTTATTAAGTTATCATTCAAACTAAAAAAAAAAAAACTTAAAAAAACACACCACAAAATCGAAATTGTCTTAAAACATCACATGTTCGTTGAACTTGCTCTATGCACGGTGAAAAAGAACAAAGTCGACCCCCTGATTTCTAAAACAAATAAAACCTTTAACTTAATACCCTTCATAAAACAATTTTAAAAACGAACCTAAAAAGTAAAAGCAAGCAGTTTTAAATAACGAAAAATTAGGTTAAAAAAAACTACCTTTATTGTTTTTATAGCATGTGGTATCGCATCCCAGGGAGAAGGAAGATCTAAAAATACTAGAAAAAACATAGTTTATTTTCAATTAATGCTTTAATTTACTAACAGAGCATCTCATCAAATTTTCACAATAACTTATTGAATTCTAAAAATAAAAAAATATTGCCTGCATCTGCTTTGTCTTCAAGAGAAAAACCATCTGCACATGCATCAGCACATTTACACGTAACAAAATTTTCGAGACCATGTTGCATGAACTCTTCCCTAAACAGTATTATATAAAAAATATTTACAATGACAACCAACATTTTATTATGATTTTAACCACCATGATAATCTTAAAACACTGTAAATTATAATCACTTAATCAAATAAGATTACTTTTTCTTTTTTTAATTAATTCACTACTAACAAGGCTGCAATCAATAACTAATTAAGTTCGGAGTTACAAAAAGGAGTTACAAGGAGAACACAAAAAATAGCGTTAAAGAAAAACAAAAGAAAACTGTAAATTGTATGAGTCAAGAAAACATAAATATGGAAGATAATTCCAAATATATGAGAGATAATTCCAATTATTGGAGATTATTCCAAATATATGAGAGATAACTCCAAAGCATTGATGTACAAAGAAAGAAACTAGATGAACAGAAGTTTTTAGAGTATGAAGGGCCAGATGCAGTTAAAGGATGCAACTTTCCTGAATGACAGGTTAAGTGAGAATGAGCTTTGTTTGATGCAACTAGAGCTTTTTTGATGTTTGTGGAAAAGAGAAAGAAATGCAACCTTGCAACCATGGGTTAGTGGCTTAAACTTGGCAAAAAGAGCAGGTCCAACTACATTTACAATACTTTTTTTGACTTTTTTAAGAAAAAAAAGACCATCTTAAGAATACAAGCCCAAATATGACATCAGTATTCCATACATTTCTAGCAAAATTATTTTTTATCCAAGTGATATTAATCTGACTCCTAACGCATGTAAAGTTTGATTTTAAAGCCAAATATGAAAAAAAATTATTGGTTTGGCTTTGTATTTCACCAAAACATGTATCAAAGCCATTTTTTATTCTTCCAGAAATAAAAGTGAAACAGTCTACCTGGTATCCATAAATTAAAAAGTATTTGGTACCTTTTATAAATAAATTTTATAGTACAGGAGAGTATGTATTTAGGCCAGACTTGGTATCTGCTTATTATGTAAAAAGCATGGGAAATTACCTAAATGAGAAATAATATAACAAATAAAAAAACTTTTTATAAAACCACGCTTTTGAAATGAACTAAAAAGTAGAAAATAATTTTCTCTTGTGGCTGTAGAAATTTTTGAAAATTAATTGAGTCGATAGTAAGTGACATAAAAACTTTTGATTATGAACTCTTAATAATTACGATAATATTTGTAAAATTTTAAACGAAAAACGTGGTGCGCATTTAACGAAAAAAAAGAACAGAAGAAGGAAGCAATAGTTAAAGTAATTAAGGACGATGATGATCATTTAAAGTGACAAGATGCGCACCACGTTTTTCGTTTAAAATTTTACAAATATTATCGTTCATAAGCAAAAGTTTTTATGTCACTTACTATCGACTCAATTAATTTTCAAAAATTTCTATAGCCACAAGAGAAAATTACTTTCTACTTTTTAGTTCATTACAAAAATGTGGTTTTATAAAAAGTTTTTTTATTTGTTATATTATTTCCTTCTTTTTAGTTTTTGATGGGTGGAATTTTGCAATTAGATTTTAATTTCAGAACCTCTATGTACAATGCAATTATTAGGACAAATCAGATATAAAATTGTATACAATATAAATTGCGGCGACGCCTCCAAAAGTTTTGCCATAATAAATTTTATTTTGCTGAAATTGTTCAAGAAACTCAACAAATCATGGTAAAAGTAGAATAATATTGCATTGTCATCGGATTCTGAGCTATAGTAAAAGTTTCAGAGCTCTAGCTAATCGAAAAGTGGGTTAAAATTGAGTTGCAAAATTCCACCCGGACAAACAAATAAATAAGAAAGCGAGCTAATAAAAACATGGTAAAAAACAATTTTGTACAGAGATCAATCAATCTTGCAAATATCATTAAAGCACGGCCAATAGAAGACTTTTGAGGAAACTTAAAAAAAAAAGTATATTTGCAAATGGACTGCAAAGAAACTTGATGAGTTGAAATCTAGAATTGTCTACTGTCTTGGCAAAATGGATCTTGAAAAATACTTGACCATGTAAGAAGATATGCTGCCTATTTTTTCTCTCTCTTCAAATAGTAAAAAAAGACATCTTTTTATTATCATTTTTAAGTTTTGGGTTTAAATAAAATTTTTTGTCTTAAGACTTTTATTCCAGTCCAAAAACTTATTCATAACTTGTTACAATATATGTAGAGGTAGATAATGAAATTGGGAATAGACGAGCACAATAAAGGGAGGCAATCTTAGCAGATGCAATTGATTGTATATATAATTTTCATAAGACGTCTGTAGTGATCGTTAATCCAAGAAGACATAAAGTAAAGAACTTTGCTATTTGCTTTGAGTTTAAAAAAACTTTACACTGCTCAACTAAATACCGATATAAGCAACTTTAGGCAAAAAACAAAATTAGGTTTTAACTTAAATAATTTTATTATTTAAAAAATAAATTTATGGTTAGGAATAATGATCTTCATTTAAAAACAGTGTGAACTAGATGGAGGCTTGCTCTTTTTTTAGAATCTTTAAAAGCTACTTATTTAGAATCTTTAGTTACTAATAACAATAAGATTTTCAATAGTTAGCAGATAAATAAATGTGTAACTGAAACAAAATTTTTGAATTTAAAATGATTTATTCATTAGTTGAAAATTTCAAAAATTTGTTTCAGCTTTATCAATTTTATGCATTCAATTTCTTTTTTCCAATAATAAAAACTTTTTTTTCATACTAACTTTTAAATCCTTTTTTTTTCCATCTTAACTAACTGTTGGCTGTTCTAAATGTTAATGTTAATTTTAAAACTAATTTCAGATTTATCAATTTGCATCCATTTTCATAACTATAAAATTCTTTTTTTTTATTATAACTCAGCTGGTATATATATATATATATATATATATATATATATATATATATATATATATATATATATATATATATATATATATATATATATATATATATATATATATATATATATATATATATATATATATATATATAATAAAAATAATTGTAATAAATAAGACGATATTACTAAAATAAAATTTTATGGAAATATTAAATTATAAAATATAAAATAAAAATTTTATGGTTATTATTCAAAAAAAAATTTCTTATTTAATTTAAAATTTTTAAATAAAATCATTGGGGGATCGATTACTTTATAATTTGCTTTGGTATTTAAACTTGTAACAACATAAAATTTGTGTTATTTCAATAATGTAAGGCATTATTCCCATAATGCCTTACATTATTGAAAAAATAGAATTTTTTCAATAATGTAAGGCATTATGGGAACTTTGTTAAAATAATGTAAGGCATTATGGGAACTTTGTTAAAAACGCATATGTGAGATTGATACTCAGATAAAAAAAATATTTAACAAATAAAATATAAAAGTAAAGAACAAAAATAGCTTTTACAAAAAAATTGATAACTAGCAGTACATGTCTTTTTGATTGAACCTAAAATATGGAACCTTTCTTTTCTAATTTCTATATTAAAATTGACTTATATTCTCCTATATTTCTCTTATATTCTCCTATATTCCAAGTAACCTTTTGAGTAACAAAAGTTTGCATGTTGTTTACCATTTATATTTATGATCTCTCTGTCTTAACAGTCTCATTAGTTAAGACTAGTGTCTCTATTAGTTAAGACTAGTGTCTCTATTTGCTGATGAATACAAATGTATGATCAAATATTTACTTTGCTGATGGCTGAACATCAACAGCTGAACTCTAATTAAATCCACTGGAATTTCTATAACTTGGACTAAATTCACTTGGATTATTTTCTAGCTACCAAATTTTTTACGAAAGTTATTTCTTTCTCTTTTATACTGCCATGGTTGCTGCTTAAGTGCTTCTTTTACTGAAACACAACTTCCTGTGACTTGTCATTTAGCAAAGATGCATTCTTTTGCTGCTCCTTTATCATAAAAAATCTTTTATCTGTTTATTTTTTCTTCAAATATCAGTATTCTGAAATTCTTCATGTTTTCCTGGCTCATTCAATTTACAGCATTTAAAGTCTACTGTCAACCATTTTTTTGTTTTATTTTCATCACTACTTGGTTTACTAGAATAATCGAGAAGTTAACACATATTAAAAGTAGCAACTCCTAATTTAAATTGTGGTTGCCTGCAGCTTTGTTGAAACTAAATTTGTTTAACAAAAAGAACGCATTATAACAAAGAGTTGTGATGTTCTGGTCTCGATAATACGAACCTAGAATGCAGTATTATTCTTTTAACAATTATGTGTTCTTCACAAGGAGATAAATTACAAACTGCAATTAAAACAGTTTAGGCTAAAATAAAATCAAATTAATACAATTAATAATTGTATAAATATGATTGCATTATTTAAAAAAGCTTTTAAAAATCAATTATGATATAAAAGATATCATGTTTATTTTACTTTTGATATAAAAATATATACATTTAAAAATTTAAAAATAACATTGAAAAAGTATTTAATAATTTAAATATTGTAAAAATTTCACAAAACTTTATTAACAAGTAAATGAAAAACATTTTTTAAAACAATCGTTTAAAAGTTTTCTTCATATATTAAATTTGTCATCAAATTTTTGCCATCATACATTAAATTAAGCTATAAAAACTTTTTTAATAATCATTTCATGTGAATAATAAACATTTCCAGTGAAATGTTTATTATTCACATTTATTGTGTGTATCTTGCATATTTTGTCATACTACGTAATGATTAGTTTAACTGCACATTTTTTGACCCCCCCCCCTAATTTTTTGACCCCCTTCCCCTAAAACTAATTATCATGCTTAATTCTTATTAAATTTAAAAATAAGACACACTTGGCATTTTATCTCACCTAAAACAATTATCAGGGTAAATAATCTATACAAATATTACCAAAAAGGATGCTGATCTAAATAAACATAATTCTGAAAAGTTTATTACCATCACAACATAAATTATGTTTGCAGAAAAGTAATAATGTTTTTTTTTTTATCTTATACCTTGTACCATTTTATGTTTTTTTTTGTTCATTTTAAATATCTGACCTCTATATAAAGATTTTAAAAAGATATAAGAGATAAAATTCAGCATAAACATGCATAAATAAAATATAATAGACTTGATGATTAGCATAAACATGCATAAATAAAATAAAA